AAAAAAATATATATATATATATATATACATATATATATATGTAAAGAATCTTTAAGTGAGGATATTAAGAAATTTCACTTTAGGTTTAAGGAGACAACTTAAAATTTGTCAACTTTGACAGAAGTCACTTTTTTCTGCTTTTGAAACCCCAAGATAGCGATCACAGAAGTCGTAGCAGCCCCAGCGGCAGCTGTAGTGTTAGCAGTACTGGAAACGCTAACAGCAGCAGCGGCGGTTCATTTTTATGGAGCTCTTACTGTCTGCCAGGCATCTTGCAGAGCTATCTAAATCGGTCAATGAATTTGACCCAATAACAACTCTGACGTATTCTTGTTTTTCTCCACTTGATCTTAGCCAAAAGGCCGAGAAGCGATCTTGTTTTTCTCATTTTATAGATGAGAAAAGTAAAATGCAGAAAGGTTAATTTGCTTGCTTTAGTCACATTGTCGTCACATTCTCTTTCAACAAACCAAGGTAAGTTTGGTTCATTTGGACACATAACAAGTTCATTTTTTTCTTTCTCCTTTTCAGTTATTAGAAAAGTTAAAAGAACGTTGGCTCTACACTGGTTTATGGCATAATCTAGAGTTGGTGAAGACAGTCATCGTAGAACCTCAGGGAGGAGAAAAAACTGATTTTGATGAATTACTGCAGGTGTACTATGATGCAATCAAGTACAAAGGAGAGAAAGGTAAATGAAAATTATTTGATGGTCAATGAAAAAATTTTTATCATAAAGTAAGAAGTTGGTGCTGTCAGAATTTTGTTTATGTTATCTTTTTAAATGAATTGCACTTAGGAGAAAAATTATACTTTATAATCTGGATGTAAAGAAAATAAGTTGAAGAAATTCTTTTATTTGGAGCTCTTCTCCTATGAATATTTTCATTTGGAGATGCTAGTTCAACTTTAACAAACAGCATATATTCAGGTAAGGAAGATATTTAGTAAAGTCTTCCTTATACTACCTAAAATGTTTTGTGAAAGAGGGTGGATGGAGTATGCACAAATATCTTCCTTACTAGCCAGATGAACCCTACATTTTGATGCAAATAATGTACTTTATGCTTACATTCTATTACATAAGGTAAATTTGAGTTTTCAAAACACAGCTAAAGTCTCAGGTTATCTGGGAGATACACAGTTTGTAAATTGGTTTGGTACCACAGAAATGTAATTTTGTGTCTGTTTTAAAACTTTATCTTGCCATAGTTTTTATTTTGATTCTTTTAAATTTGCTATGATTACTTAATTAGATCTTTTCAAAATGACAGCAGTAAGCAGTTTCAGGGAATTTTGGGTGTGCTTTTTAAAATCTTTATTTTTTGTTGTTTAAGATGGAGCCCTCTTGGTAGCTGTTTGTCGTGGTAAAGTGAGTGAGGGTCTGGATTTCTCAGATGACAATGCCCGTGCTGTCATAACAATAGGGATTCCTTTTCCAAACGTGAAAGATCTACAGGTAGGCCTTCAAAGCCTTAAGTTTTGTTTATCACAGAAGTTGTTGATTTTAAGTTTTTATTTAAATTCCAGTTAGTTAACATACAGTGTAATATTAGTTTCAGGTGCCGAAGTTCTTGATCATTATGTAAAGTTAATCGTATGGTTTTTTTGTTTGTTTGTTCGTTTGTTTGTTTTTTGGTATCCTTAGATATTTTAATGCTTTGGTGACTCAGAATGAATGAGAAAGTTTTGGTAGACATCGATTTATTTTATTTTTAACTTATATTGTCTTTTGCTCAATAAGAGTGATTTTCGGTGGTGCCTGGGTGGCTCAGTCGTTAAGCGTCTGCCTTCAGCGCAGGTCATGATCCCAGGGTCCTGGGATCGAGCCCCGCATCAGGCTCCCTGCTCCGCGGGAGGCCTGCTTCTCCCTCTGCTGCTCCCCTTGCTTGTATTCCCTCTCTCCCTGCCTCTCTGTCAAATAAATAAATAAAGTCTTTTAAAAAAAAAATAAGAGTGATTTTCAAAGTGATCCAAGACCAGGAGTATCAGTATCACCTGGGAACTTGATAGAAATATACATTTAACGGGCTCCATCCAGACCAACTGAATCAGAAACTATGGAGGTGGAACCCAGCAATTTGTGTTTTATCAAGCTCTTAGCCATAGACTTACAAAGGTCCCCCAGAGAATTCTAGAATTCTAGAGCTCTTTCTCTATTTCCCTTCGCTCAATACCATACCCTGCCCTGCTGATTTCAGTGATTTTAGCTGCTCCAAAATCTGATCTCTTGCACCTCAGCTCAGCGGGACCACCATACTTCAGTGTTCTAGATATAGTTGTCGGGAAATTGTATGTAGGAAAAGAGCTGAGAATCATGGAGTTCATCTAATGGATTTCCCTTATCTCTGAGATTATGGTTTTATGCTGCCTGATATCTACTCCCTGAAAGTAGTTGCTTTATCTACTTAGTGCAGTTTTACATTTACTTACAGTGGGAGGGATATTCCCAAACCAGTTATTCTATGTTGGCCAAAAACAGGAGTTTTGCTTCATTATCACTGATTATTTACTAAACATTATATTTGAAAAATTATCTGTAGCAATAATTTGAAGCCTAAGGTGATGTTATTTTTCATCAGGAAGGATTTTCTTTTCCTTCCTACTGGAATTTGAAGGTGCCAGCAATCTGAGACCAAGACTTTGGGTTTTCTGGCCATTTAGCTGACTACTTAGATCCTTCCTCCTAGGATACAATGTGTTAGGGTCTCATACCAAAGCAAGAATTCTTTCCCTAGGCAGTTATTTATTGTTAATACTTTAGTAGACACTGTGAATTATGTAATATTAACAGTAATAAGTAATATTTCTCTGGTTAGCTCCTACTCTTCCCTAAGCTCTAGATCTCTTAAAAATTTCTGAAAGTCCTCAGGAGGTTCTAATCCTTTCAGCCTGCACTAACTTTGGTGGCTTCCACTACCTTTCTTCAGCCACTAGGGCTCCCATTGAGAGTGCTGATGACCATACCCAGGGCTCCTATTCTAAAATGGTTAATACTGCCTCTCACTACAGCTACTGATGAAATAGTTGACATCTACTCAAGAAAACTGTTATGTTCACTATCAGCAGCTTTTGTTGCCACATTCCACTGAAGCTGAGGGCTGCTGATGAAACAGTTATTGGCAGTATTACTGTCTCTCTTTGATGTCTTTCATTTTACCATGGTCCTGTATCATTGCATTAATGCTCCTTTGTTAGAGTGGAGAGAATCCCTTTTCCCTCTTTGTACCACACATTCTCCCAATGTCTTAAATATATATATATTTTCCCTAGAACTAGCTCTTTCAATTTATGCTTATATCTTCTCTTTTTCTTGGGCCTATATATGAGTCCTTGAGGACCACAGAAGATGATAACTTTTTGGCCAATACTATGTTGTACTAAATATTATACTCACAAAATAGCAAGGCCTGAAAAGATTCATTCACATAAAACTCATACTAGTGATTACACCTGAGAAGAGAAAGGAATGATATTGGGGGTGGTTATCAAATGGGACTTTAACTTTTTCTATAATATTTGTTGTTTTAGTAGAAAACAAATTTTAAGAAAATGTGGTGAGAATAAAGATATTTGTTATGTCATTCTTCAAAAAAATTTAAATTTAAATAAAATGTTACTTGTGAAGAAAAAAATTACATTTACCTTCTACTTTCTCTACCCTCACTCCCAGCAACTGTGAGTATGGGCATTGTTATTGCACTAGTGTTGAGTTCTTAATGCTCTCTTTCCTCAGAATTAGTTCTTCTTAGGCACCTTCTCATTTTGTCATACAAAAAAGGCAGCTGATGACCTTCTCTGACATTCCTCAGTAATGGTCTTGCTTGTCACAGTTCTGCTTATCTGGATTGCAATGGCTATAGTTACATAAAATAGCAAAACAACAGAAGCTTCAATGAGATCTTGGTGCAGAGGAGGAGGGTGGTTCTAAAGAAGTTTCCCTAGTGGTTCATGAAAGGGGCAAGTAGAATAGACCCAAGAGTAGTCCAAACTGCAGGGACAAGGGATAGATAAAGAGGAAAATTCTTTACAGGCAATATCAGATGTAAGGGAAGTGTATTTCTTGTTACCTTATGTCTAGATCAACACTTCCTGTGTAACAATTGTAAAATACAGTGGATTAAAACAACATTTATTAGGACTCACACATCAATTGATGGGGAGTAGTAGCTGGGGTTGGCTGAGCAGCTCTGCTGATTTCTGCTGGGCTCAGTCACCCTGCTATGGTTTCACCAATGTAGGTTTGGCCCAACTGGGTCAGCTCTACTCTACATGTATCTCATCCTTTGTATACCAGCAGACTAGCCAGAACATGTTACCATGTTTTATACTTTGGCAGAGATATAAGAGGGCAGGCTTGATTGAGCAAGCACTTTTCAAAGACCTACTTATATCATATCTACTAACCTATTGGCCAAAGCATGTCATGTGCCTAAGCCCAAAGTCAGGAGCAATAGGAGAGATGTGGGTTTCAACCACACATGGCAAAGGGCTTAGAGTCAAGACTCCAAAAAGGAGTTTTGGCTTTTTTCATAACTAAAAGATATTTGTAAGGCATCCATTCAAAAGACTGATGTTCATAAGCTTTTAAGAGTATAGGTATGTAATTTTTATAATAATCAGGAAGGCCTTTTATCATTTGGAAATGACCAGAATATAGCCATCAATACCTGAAATACCTGAATACCTGAAATAAATCAGAGCACTATTATGGCTGATTTCTTAAAATTCATAAATGATCCAATAAGTTACTGAAATTATTTATTTGGGATAAAAAAATACAAATCAAATTTATAAATATATTAAATTTATATATGTATTAATTTAATTTATAATTATAAATTAAAATATAAAAGAAATAAAAAGTTTGATAATGAAGTCCACTTTATTTTTTTGTTTTTGCCTGTGTTTTTGGTGTCATATTTAGGAAACTATTGCCAAATCCAAGCCTTGCACATTTGCCCATTTTCTTCAAAGAGTTTCATAGTTTGAGCTCTTAAATTTAGATATTTGGTTCCATTTTGAGTAAATTTTGGGTATGATATAAAATAAGGGTCCATCTTTCTTATATCTGAAATGAGTCTCTTGTTCACACCATATAGTTAGAGCATGTTTTTTTAATTCATTCAGCCAAATTCTGCCTTATAGTTGGAGAGTTTAATCTATTTACCAAGTAGTTACTGATAAGGAGGAACTTAGTTCTATTTAGCTGTTTTCTGTGTGTTTTCTGTGCTTTTTGTTCCTCAGTTGCTTCAATATTACTCTTTTTTGTATTTTTTCATTGAGTACTATTTTGATCCCCTTCTTTTCTTTTGTGTACATTTTTTGGTTATTTTCTTAATGTTACCCTGGGGATTACAAGTAACATCCTTAATCTCTGTCCTTCCCTTTTTATATTGTTACTGTCTGGATTGCATTTTTATACATTGTATGCCCATTAACATAATTTATAATTATTGTTTTATACATTTGCCTTTAAATCATGTAGGAAAAAAATAATTACAAACTAAAAGTATAATAATACTGGCTTTTATATTTACCTACATAGTCCTCTTTACCAGTGTCCTTTATTACTTCCTAAAGCATATACTATACTGCCTTCATTATATTTTAGTGCTTATAAATATGTTCTATAATATGTTAGATGGTGTACGTCAAGGATTAGGATAGTTTCTTTGTGTCTCTATAATTAAAATAATGCCTTGAAATATAGTAGGTGTTCAACAAATGTTGATCTTTTAAAAAATAAAAATAAATGTTGATTTAATTAATGACTAAATATAAACCTATTACTTAATATTGCCATATTCTTGTTTTCTGTAAAATGAGATGATGTTAATACTCAGTCTATTATACAGAAATAAGTAGAAGTTATTTATATTGAAAACCTTAAATATTCTAGCTTTTGGAAATGAAACAATCTATTTCTACATGGTTTTCTCTGTTGTTTCATTTGAATTCATATTTTAAGGTTAAGATCAGTGTCCAAGTTAGAAAAGTGATTTGAGTGGGGAAAAAGAGCAATGGCATTAATTTTATGATACTAAAAGTTTTTTTCTTAAATTTGAGACACAGATTATGGAAGTAAAAATTAAAATACAGTTTAAAATACTAACTTAAGACTCTTGTAGTCTCAACTGCAGAGTTTGGCTTTTAGAGAAGCAGGAAAATGTATGTTAGAGCCAAAAATATGACTTCTTTGGCTGTGACCAGGATTTCCTCTTCCCACCTTGGGGACTAGAAAGTAGAGGTAGGAAAATTTCATTTTGGAGCCAAGTGTGACTTGTTTAGTTCAAGTCATAATTTATTGCGCATACCTCAGGGACCTGAAAATAAAGAAACCCACTATGAAATGTTGATAATGGGCCACTCTGAAGGGCAAGCATTAAGCTAACATTCCCGGTGAGGATTTTTTTCACTTCCACCTTTCCCAGATGCTTCTGATCATTCTATAAGGAC